GTCCCAAGTCCTCTAGAATCTTGAAGCATGACAGGAGATTGAAGGAATGGGTGCCCCACCTTACCTGTAATGGAGATGGACAGCTGATACTGTTGTAACTCCCCATCATAACTTGAGATGGGCCACATTGATGGCTTCACGTTGCCCCAGAAATGACTGTCCCTTGCATTTTGAAGGCATTGTAGAACTCCACAGAGCTGTACTTTTCTAGACACGGTTCCAGCTTATTCCACTGTTCTTTGTTGACCAGCCCTCAGGGACAGTGGCATCCTTCGTGGCATCTGGTGGGTCACTGCTTGCTCCCCTCCCAAATGGCTCAGGAGGGCTGTCAAAGCATTGCTCAGCTCCATTGGGCCCTTGCTAGTCTGTCCTGGAGGAAAGATGGGACATGGGAGTCTGTTTGCAGCTATTAATGAGCAGGCCTGCAGGGTGATGTGTGATCGGAAGAGTGAAATCTGGCTCAGAGTTTGGTGTGTGGTAATGACCCTCTAAAATAAGGAACTTAATTATACCTTGAAATTGAATGATTCCTTTATTCTCCGAAACAGAGTGTACTAGACTTGGGAAGCCCCGGGCACTCTTGCTGCTTCATCTATTTCTGCCCCTCTTTTCCTGCCAATGTGCTTGCATCACATTCCAGAAAGCCTTTCTAGGGTTGCAATCTACTGAAAATGGACTGCGGCCTGGCTTGTCATTCTAAGTCCTCATAAGGTTGATACTTAGGCACAATGATGAGGCTGCATCATGGACTGGCTGAGTAGTCTCCAGTGGTCTCAATTTACCATCTAGCTCCATCATCGGAGAAATAATAACACAGCTGGCTCTCCCTCTTGGCGGGTTTACATTCATGTTTTCACACTGTTGTGTATTAAGCATATAGGAAATTATGTCTGCACTGAATATGAGCACTCTATTTCCGTGTCTGCATTCCCTGACAACACCAAGTGAGGACTTACACTGCAGTTTGTATTGCGTCGGTACCAGAACCATCTAGAGAGGATCTGAAGCAGGTGGGGGGATGCACAGATGCTGCAACATTGCATGTGAGTACTGAGCAGCTGCATCACTGCATGTGAGTACTGAGCAACTGCATGATTGAATGTGAGTACTGAGCAGCTGTTTGGATCTGGAATCAAAAGATGGTTCTGGAACCAAGGTCCCCCAGACCCCAAGGGAACGTCAGGGTTCCCCAGGGTAGAGGGAAAGAAAAAGGAAAGAGAGATGAGCCTCCATTTCTCCTTTCCTGCCTCAAGTGTCTCTTTTCCCATTAAGTGTCTCTTTCTCAGTTTATATCAGCACTAAATATAAACCGAGAGGGTGCTGGGAGTTCATCCTGATTGGTGTCAGATGTCACCCAACCAGAAGCTGTTTCCGTGCTTATGGACAGAAGTGGGGACCCAATCACTATACCAAAAGGGGGTACATGACCAACTGAAGTCCAATAGAATAGGGGGATTCCCCAGGAGAGGGACACTTGAACAGGACTCTGAACCCAGGCCCCTAGAGTCCTTTGCTTTCCACATGGGAGCCCCTTTTCTACCAGAGAAGTCTGTGACACTTGCTAATAAACCTTTTCTTGGTGCTGAGCTATCTTCCTGTCTTTGAATTCTTTAATTGACACAGAAAAAGAAACCTACCTGCTAGCTGATATCAAGGGATTTGAGTATTTACCTAATTGGCACATAGTGGGTATTCAGGAAATGAGTTTGGGAAAAAAATAAAGAGAAATAATTCCTAGAGCGAAGGCCAGCAGCTAGTGCCAAGAACATGATAGCATATGTCACTTGAGTCTGGAAGCACTTGAGTCTGGAATCTTCCCGTCACCAGTGTCATCATTTGGAAAATAAGAATGCTGAGAACAGCATCTGTAGGTGTGTCCCCCTGAAGCCTGTGGGTGGACTGTAGCCAGGGTGCTGATGAATACAGCTCAATATAAAACTGCTTGAAATGGTATGAGATATTTTGCCTTTTTATTATTTGTTTATAATTCCATTGTGCAGTCCTTGAGAATGAACTTCGGACTTAGTTGATGACAATGTTGGGTTGTAATGTCAAAAGGTTGGACATGTCTGCCCCTATAAGTGTAAGGTTGTACTTGGGATGGAGTGTGACAATCTGTGCAAAGAGCCCAACAGAGCACTGCCTGTCCTATGTTTCTTTTCAGTGTCTGTCCACTGTTGTTACCGGCTCATAAGGCTTCGGGGCTTTTCGTCTGTGGTTAATTTGAAAACAGGAAGTGAGAAATCACAACCTCCAAAGGCCGTCTATGTTCTGAAGGCTCAGCTCCCCACACCACAGCAGGCAGCTATGCCGGGGATGGGGTAAGGAGAGTGGATTGGAAAGCCAGAAGAGGGGCAGAGATCACAGAAGAGCTGGTGAGCAGCTAGCTACTGTACGGCCACAGGCATGCAGATCAGCTCCAAAGGATACTGTGATATAAGGAAGGTGCGACAAGCTCAGGGCGCTGCTGACACATTGTTGGAATCCGGGGAGGATTTCTACCTTCAAACACAGAGTACCCAGTGGGGTGGACTTGACAATGTCACAGCTGTACACAGCTGCAAGAGTGTGATTCCTGGGCATGGCTGAGCAAAGCTCTCTGTAAAATGGATTTGGGCAATGTGGTTCACCCACACTTGTATCTCCAATACTTGGGATTTGGAGGGAAGTGGATTTCTGAGTTTGATGCAGCTTGATCTACACTGTGAGTTCTAGACAAGCCAGGGCTGCATAGTGAGACCCTACCCTACCCTCAGTAAAGGAAAGAGAAAGAAAGGAAACTCTTTGACTAGACATTCCAGTTCTGTACTGCTTCTGGAATCCCCATGGCCACAGATGAGGACCACATGTCTCCTAAATGTACACACAGGTGAACACAAACGTGGATTTGTGTATACAGGAGATGATAACTGAAGATTTGGATAAATAAAACGTTACATGCCTGATTCCAGACTGTTCCTTATGCCATCAGAATCTTGTTGTGTATTTCTCATGGCTCTCCATCCTTGTGTTTTCTGTCAAAGGAATGTAGAGAAGACACAGAGTGTGGTGAGGAAGATGGCAGAGTTTGTTACAGAGCCAAGCAGGGCATACTCTGAAAGGGTGAGAGAGGACAATGGCTAAAGAGGCCACTATGCTGACTGTGCTTTAGGCAGGCTTTGTACTGTTGAGAGGTCTCTATATCAGACAGTGTTCCTGAGCAGTGGTTTCCTCTAGGTGACTGACAGGCCCATTTAGACTGCTTTTATAGGAGGAGACAATGGTATGCCCTTGTTCTTTGCTGAGAAGCTTCTGGCTAGATAGTAATCCCGCGAGGTTTAGACAGTCATCCGTGAATGCCCTGTGAGGCAGTTCAGAATGTCATGCCAGAGACACCCTCAGGTCTAGTTCTGACTGGCTCCATAGTTTTATAGTTTTAGTTCCTGAGTTTATAAGCTGCTGATCATAAAGGAAGGGTTGGTCCTTAGTGCCTGCCAATGTCTAACTGGCTCCCCCACATTTACTTCCCAGTGTGGACTGTTACCTCCTATTCTTTCCTTCTCTCTGCCTTCTCGAAGGACTACTCCCTTTCTCAAGTCACCTCTGTGTAACTATAAGCAATTGTCCTTGAGCAGACACACTCTGTAACAACTGTGCTTATAAACACCACCCCCAACCACACACATGCATGAGCCACACACATATTAAAGACTATATTGACCTGTTTGTTGGAGGGTAAGAAGATGTGCTCTGTACTGGGTTGGACTGTGAAGGTTAGAGCCATCTGTTCAGAGCCTCTGGCCTCCCTTTCCAGCCTGGAGAATGGCTGGGCTTGGCTGGCTCCATCCTCTGAAAGCACAGTGTTTTTGGAAGCTGCCTCAGGCCCTCACAGTCTGCACACAGTGCCATGTTGGTCATTAGGCAAGTCCACTTGCTGTCTCTGACATACAAGCCCAGGCGACAGGTGGCTAGTGCCGTAACAGGCTGAGGATGCCATCCAACACTCAAGCTGACTAGACCTGGACAAAGTCGGTGCCACCTTGAAGATCGTCCCACGGTTACTTGCGGTTCCCCTGCCTGCAATGGCACAGTACAAGTCAAAAGCAGTCCACACTTTCATCTGATTTTTGATGGGCATTGGGTGTGTGTACACACTCCCATGTACACTCACATATGGAGGCCATGGTAAACCTTGGGTGTCATTCCTTATTTTTTGAGACAGAGTCTCTCATTGTCTTGGAAGTTGCCAAGCTAGGCTGGCTGGCTGGCAATCCTCCCCAGAACTGGCATTCCCATCACCACTGTCTCTTCACATGGATTTTGGGCATGGAGCTCAGGTCCTCATGACCGCAGGGCAAACACCGTATGCCTGAGCCATCTCCAGGTGCATGTCTTTTTACAGCTTCTCCCCAGGACTTCTTCCACTGAGACCTGTCCCCTCATGGACAGTCTCAGCCCTTCTTCTCAGTAGTCCTGCGGAGTTCTCACACTCTTTCTACACAGGAAGATGCAGGCAAAAAGAGACAAGGGGTGGGTTTGAGGTCAAGCAAGGAAAGGACTCCAGAGCTTGTGCATGTCACCCTTCATGACATGGTGACTTCTGGGGAGGACAGAAAGGAAATGGACAGTTACTGGGCACCAGCCACGGGCCCTGTGTTCCCACACAGAGCTTTATCAGAATCTCACCCACGGCTCTGGTGTATTAACCAATGAGAAGAAACCAAGTTTCTGCTAAGCCTGCCACTCTTATGGCTATCATTCTCCTCCTGTTGTTCATCACAAAGCCCAGCATGTGTGAATGTCATCAGATGTTCAGCTTTCCTGGCTTCCTGTCTCCAAATGCCACCTCCTGGAGCCAGCCACTGTTGGGCTCAGCCCTGCCCAGGCCCCTGGCCAAGGACACCCTGCCCCAGAACACTGGAAATGTCTCCACCGGAGAGCGACTTCTGGGATTGGCCTGCTGCACCCTTGTCCTGTGAAAGGGTTGCCTGTGATGAGCACAGGAGTAGGACGTGGCTGTGGGAACACAGGATCGCAACCTCCTTCCCTGACTCATTCTGCCCGTCTGACCTTAGGTCAGGGCACCTATTTGCAGCCCATGTTCTCAATGCTAGGGCTTAGTGGCCTGGAGACTGGTTCTGACTCACAGCCTTTGATATGGGCCTTTGGCTGGATGTCTCTGCATCTGGGTTAAGCAAGGTGAGCTTTTCTACATGCTGGGGTCTAAACAGCATCTGTTACATTCTCAGAATGCAATGTTTAAATGCCACATTTGAGAACTGTATTGGGGTTCTGTTGTGCTTGTGTGTAGGGGGGTATTTGAAGGACTTGGCTCAAGTGACTGAGACTGGCAAGTCTAGATGGGACCTGTAGAGCAGGCCAGCAGGCTGGAGGCTGTAGTTACCCCATTTCTATAGGGCATACATAAGGCTGGAAATTCAGATGGAGCTTCAATTTGAAAGCTTGAGTCTGAGGCTGAATTCTTTCTTCCTTGAAAAATCTCGAGCTTTTCTCTTAAGGACTTCCAACTGATTAGATGAAACCAACCAGATTAGGAGGCATAATCTGCTTTATTCCAAATCTGCTGATGGAAATGTTAATCACATCTGGAGCAAAACCGTCTCAGCTTTATCTAGAGTCTGCAGTCCAGATTGTGTTTAACCAGCCTGGGTCTCATCACCATGGACACAGAATTAGCTGTCCCAGTGCTACTCACCTGTGACTCCCAGTAGCAGAAGCAGAAGTCAGGCCTATCCCCACAAAACTCCTGTGATGCACCAAGGTGACCTGGCACAGCAGCGTCCAGAGAAGTCACACAGTGTCATCTCCATTAGCTCGAGTAGTGGCTGTCTCTAGTGCTATGGTCAGGAGAGGGTCCCTAGTCCCTGTGTGCTTTGGGTTGGAGCTCCTCAAGTTCCAGGAATGAGAGCAGGTACTCAGCAGCATAGTTATAAGCGAAGTACCCTTGATGTCTGATGGTTGTGACATTCTGGAATATGTGGTTCTTGCTAGCAGCAAGCAAGTCTACTACCATGAAAGTACTGTCTAGAACACAGAGGTAGAGGTGAGGCCCCTTCTCTGGTTATCATGGGGTTAGCAATTGGTGCTCCGGTATGAGCTCTGCCTTTATGAGCTTAAATTGAGGATGGGGGAGATTCCAATGCACAGGTTCTCGACTCTCAAGTAGTACATTGTCCTATTGGAGAGATATTTTTCTATTAGCAATAGCTTATCTTTCTGTCAACTTGGTTAGATTAAGGAACACATAGAGCACTGGTGAGACACACCTCTGGGTGTATCTGTGAGGGTGTTTCCAGAGAAAATTAACTGAGTCACCCAGAATGTGGGCAATACCATCCCATAGGCTGGCGTCCTATACCAAATAAAAAGGGTGAAAGGAGAAAGGCAGTTTGTGCCTGAAGTCCCTGATCTTTGCTTTCTGATCTAGCCTGGTGTGAAGAGCTTATTCCTTCTTCCTGCTGACACAGATTGCTCCCACCATGCTTTCCCCACCGCGATGGGCCTTAAAACCGTAGGCCAAACCCGTTCTCTGCTTCTTGCCAGACACTTGATTTTGTGACAAGAAAATTAATCCGACACTGGCTAACTGCTCTTCTCTGCTCAGACAGTGCTGAAAAAGTTATATTCCTTAATAGAGTGACCCAAAGAAACAGTCACAGACCTGAGAACCTCCACCCAGTTCCCACAATGCTAGGCCCAGAGAAATAGCAAAAATCAAGGACCTTATACTACATTAGTTACTTTCCTGTTTCTGTGATAAAACACCATGAAGGCAACTTACAGAAGGAAGGGTTTACTTGGGGCTTAGTGCTGCAAAGGATGAATCCATGACCATCATGGTGGGGAGCATGGCAATAGGCAAGCATGAGCTAGAGCAGCTGCTGAGAGCTCACATCCTGATCCACAAACGGGAGGTAGAGAGCACACTTGGAATGGTACGAGTCTTTTGAAACCCCAAAGCTTTTCCCCAGTAACACATCTCCTTTAACAAGGTCACACGTCCTAATCCTTCCCAAACAGTTCTACCAACTTGGGACCAAGTGTTCAAACTTATGAGCCTTTGAGGGCCATTCTTATTCAAACCACCACATACACCACATGCTTAAATATTTAAATGCTATAAATCACACTGGTGTATAGTTAGATGAAATATGTTCTGTCCTCCTATCTGGACAAATGACTCTTCATCAGGTTTGGCTTCAGAATCCTCTTCTTCCCAAGCTCTGAGAATGCAGCACTTCCCGCAGAGCCCATGTCTGTCCCCCAGCCTCCAGACTGCTTCTCTTTCTCTTCTGTTCCTGGATTTAAATCACATTGCCGGGGCACTGCATGCACACAAATAGACAGGGCATCTTGTACATCACAGCTGTGCCTGAACTCTGCAAATGGCTCTCTCATGTCCACCTCCAGCCCATGGGTGTGTACAGTACTGGGGTGGCCTCACTTTTGGATAATGGGTTCGGGGAGAGGCCATCCCAAGTCTGGAAGGCAGGCTCAGGTTGTTGGAGAAGACAAATTCAGAACATCTAGAGTTCAGTTTGGTAGAGCATGTGGAGAGGGGCAAGCTAAGGATCGGCTCTGCTTGTTCACCCCAAGGCCTCTTTTGCCTCACGGGGAAGGGGATGATAGCTCAGAAGGACCACAGAGTCTCTAAAATGTGAGGTCTACAGCAGGAACCCTCTTGCCTAAGAATGTGCTTGGACATTGGACTAGTACTACAGGTGTGTTCAGGGTTAGCTTCTCACATGGGTCCCCATCCATTGTTGATGATGGTTCATCTCTGTTTCCATGGTTACCCCCTCCTCTTCACCAGTCTCATCTGCTTTTTTTTCTTCCATTTCTAATCTTGGAGATTTCTCCAAATTTGCCATCTGTATACAGATTGTATTTTGGGGGCAGCCAGTTCTGGTAGCCACTGCCCTGTAGGGCAGTCTAAACACATGTTGCTACTTTTTTTTATTGCAGCTTTTTAAAATCTCATCCTGTTTCTTTTGTATTCCATATTTTAATTCATCTGGGTTTCTATTTGTGATTCTTTTAGCCCAGTTTACAACAACCATGATCTTTTATGATATTCAAGGTCCTAAATTATATTCTGCCTCTTGAGATAAAGGCAGAATTTTGTTTTTCTGCTTTGTTGTACATCCTATTGGAGTGTGTGTGTGTGTGTGTGTGTGTGTGTGTGTGTGTGTGTGTGTGTTGATTTTTCAAGACAGGGTTCCTCTGTGTAGCCTTGGCTGTCTTGGAAATTACTCTGTAGACCAAGCTGGCCTCTTACTCAGAAATTCACCTGCCTCTACCTCCTGGTTGCTGGCATTAAAGGCATGTGCCACCACCACCAGCCATATTTGGATATTTTTGAGAGCAAGTTAAACTGGACTTTCTTCCATGATGCCAGAAGATTATCTGGTCCCTCTGGGGTCCCTGTATTTCCTCCAGGGTCCCTGTACTCCCTGCAAGCACACACCTTGACCTGCTGTGTGGCCTGAGCTTGGCTCCAGGATCAAGTCTAGACTTTCGGCTAAAAGTGGGTTTGTTTGTTAAGCCCCTGTTCTTGCTCGGAGCACAAGCCCCAGTCTGGTGTGGTTCGTTTTTCTCTTTTCTGTGTTGCCGTCTAGTCAGGTGAGCTGGGCTTCTGGGGGCTGGCTGTTCCTGCCCCAGCACTTCTCATGCTATCCCAGGATGCACGCTGTTGACTCCATGGGACTTTAGTTTCTGGGTGTTTTAGAACACAGAACCGAGAAGGGAAGACAGCAAGTCAGTAATCGTGAATTTGGTTGCCTCAAGAACTAAGCATTGCAGGGTGAGGACAAACACACTTGTTTTTAGCTCTTATGTTCAGACAAGGGGAAGATGAGAGGAAAACAAATTCTTTCACTCGCCCCTCTCTGTCAAGCCTAGTCCTCTGTGCTGGGGTCAAAGGGCAGAGTATCCAACCTGGACAGAAATGTACTGAATGTTTGCATCTTGAAATAGCTTTGTAAACTGAAGAAGTTTCTACCCTGATTGTTTCCTTTCAATCTTAGCTTCAGATTACCTAGTTCCAAGTGACAAAAACCCTTGAAAGCTGTTTGGAGGGAGAGGCAGCAGAATTAATGAGAAGGGTGGGAATTTGGGAAAAGCACACAGACCAGGGAAGTTCAGCTCTGTGTGGGTTTCTTAGGCCCGGGAAAACAGGAGGCATGTGCTGATTTACACTGTGGTATGTGACTAACAGGTGTTGGGTGAGCGGGAGTAATATGGTCATGTTCCATGCCCACAGCAGTCCATCCACAACCTTGGTACATTCCTCCTTCAGAGACAGTGTGCTCTGTCCTGTAGTGCAAGCTAATGGAAGTGTGCTGGCTGCTGAGCTGAAAGCTCAGCTGGTCGTGTCTGGAGCCTGGTGGCTGTGGTAAGGACTCCAAATCCAGCAGGAGCTGGGGTTCCATCTTGCCCCAGCAACAGCACAATTGGAGAAGCAATGAGCCCACTGTCCAGAGAAAAGGCTGTCCAGTAAATGGACCACGTCACTGTCTCTTCCATGGTGTTTGTAGGCATAACCTGGCTGGCAGCCAGCACAATTCCAGTGTCCCCATCTTACAGGTTAGGTCTTGTCCTGCTTTCTGACTGTGTCACATGACCTGTCAACTACGTCTTCTTCCGCTGCTCTCCTGTGAGGTCTGTGCAGCCCTCTGTAACTGCTCTGCTTCTTCAAGATGGTTACTGGGTAGGAGCCACATTTTGACCCAATATTAGCAGTATCCACTGTCTTTCTCCAGGACAATTGATGGTCTCAGAAGAGGCCTCATGCCAGGGTCTGAAAGGCTGGATTTGAACTGGCTTTGTTAAGACTTTTTAAGTCTCTGTTCCCTTTCTCAAGGTGTCTCAGGGTCGTCCTAAAAGCCCCTGTCTTCACTCTTACTTGGAGACCCCTTTGCATTCAGCGACATGGTAACGTATCAGAAATGTCAGTCTCCCCCACAGATAGGACATTCTCAGTGTGGAAGGAATGGGGTAGGATCCAGGGTGTTCCTTCTCAGAGGACTTAGGTTTAGTCTTCAGTTTCCTGCATTCTCACCAGAGTTCCACATCGTAGAAATAAGTACAAGGGTTCCACCAAGTCTCACTCTACAGTGACTCCCTATTCGACATGTGAAAGGAAGGGCCCTGGGATCACACTGGAGTGAAGACCTACT